GGGGTTGGACTGGATGGCCCTTGTGGTCTCTTCTAACTCTATGAAAAGTCACAGCTGGCTATATATATTTAAATTCAGTCTTTCAAAATTATATTATTGTCTACTTGATATAATCAATGTAATACTGGAATGACTTTTGATTAGCTCATGCTGGATCACCCTTTCTCTTCAGTGAACTGGGGAAATCGTGCATTCCTCATGGAAGAGAATCCATGGTCTTGCAGCTCTAATGCTACATTGCTCATGAAACAGACAATGTGCATGAACAAATAACAGTTTATGTGTATAGTTTTACCAAAATCTCAACTGAATGCAATCCCAACTGAATTAGTGCCATATTGGCCTATTTAGTTTGATTCTATTCAAGCTTTAATTTCTATATTGCTGGATATGGGCAACCTAATTCATTTTACTTCAAATCATTGAAGTACTAAAGCCATTGTAAAGTACTAAAGCTATATGTGAAAAGCTTTTGTCATAAGAAGTACATGAATAGATATTTAAAAGTTCAAAGCATCTGCATGGGTAGGAGTGAAGTAATTAGTCTGAGTGAAGTTATTAAAGTGAAATGGCAGTCCAAGTTAAATTATTCTTAATATTGCTGTTTCCCTCAGTGCCACTTGATAGTGACTCTCTTGAGGCACACTAAGTTCTTTTTACTTTTTTAGTCAAGTCATTTGGGGAATGATGAATGACAGCTTCTTCCAAATACTGGAAGTGTAGCATCTGAATGAAGGATTACTCACAGTAAAAATCTGTGATCCTCTATTTCTCCTGAAGGAATGGAAGCTAACAAACACACACTGTGCTACCATTTCAGTGCAACACTGGGGGCAGAGATGAACTATACATGGTTTCCCCTCCAAAATAAAATGTATTTACCAAGAAAAGATTTTAGGAATGAAACCTAGGGTAAAAGAACAAAAATATAGAAGGGTTTTAATTCTAAACAAGTTTGTTGGGTTATTAAAACACAAGCCAAGGGGTTGAATATGATTAGCAAAATGTGTTATAACTAAGAATGGGGTAAGATTTGTTTGGTTCACATTTTAATGTGAACCAACTTTTTTTGGTACATTGCGGATTTTTCCCGTTGGATATTTCCCCTAATGATCTATGCATTTTTGTGTCCTTAGTCATCACAGTTTTTAAAATGTTCACTGTATACTCTTCTAAAAATAGTAATGAAAAATATGTAACAAGATCATAAACACAATGTATCATATCTTTCCAAAAATACTTTCCATTAAAGTGAACAAGAAATCTCAACCAAAATGGGAGCATTTTGTGTACAATGTTTCTGATTTGAGCAAAATTAAGATCTGGAGTAAGCACACAGTTCTGTACCTTTGTTTTCTTTCCCAGCAGATGAAATAAGTGTGTATACGTGTGTGTATATATAGAGGGGGGATGGTGGGACAGGGCTAGCTAATTCATGAAAATTATAACATAATAATTTGATCACTTGTAATGCAGGCTGTAAACATGTTAAAGCGACAAATTATTCCTTTAGCATCAGAATTTTAGATATTCTACTTCCAGGGCATTTTTATTTCCACTCCATTTTGATTTCCATCATTTCTCCATTGCTCATAAATACTGGTAAACAGACACTGCTTCCAGCATTTGAAATATTGCTTTTAAATATTCAATATGCTTTCCCTTTTTATATTTGCAATATACTTATCATCCAGTGAGCTCAAGGAGCATGCAATGGGACTACTCTGTTTTATTTTAAACTACCTGGGACTTGGAACTTGTTTCCATTTCACATGCAAATAGGTACAGGGTCCTAAAATCAGACTGGAACCAAAAAATAAATAAAATAATAATAATAATAAAATGAAATGGCTAAAGCTCTGTATCTCTTACTAAACTAGACTAAATTGTCTACCTTATACCTAACATTTGCTTTTTAAAATGCCATTCAGTCAAGTGCTAATTTAGTCTTTGGGGTTCTTATTAAATGTACTTATTTGCATGTTTGGTAAGATGAGACATTTATCCCAAAACATGGTGGACTCTCATTTTGCTGGGATTTTTAATGGAGGCTAGGTGCACCAGTCAGGGATGCCTCAACTATAGATTTCTGTACTGGCTTTTATGGTCACTACCAGCTCTACAGTTCTATTAATTCTCAAGCAATAAGGAACTTTATGAAATAACAAACCACTACTCAGTTTTCACAAACACCAGGATAACACAAACCTTTTGATGCTTTCCAGAAGGATCAAGAAGGTCACACTCTTACTTCATTTTAAATGCTTAGAACAATACTCCTCCAAATGCTTTTACAGAAAAAGAATATTTTCTCATTCCCCTGCTGTGGGGAAATAGCCTAACTATGCAATGAAAGAGGCAAGCTGTGTTTATTGCTATTAACATTTTACCCCATATATGATAATGTGGCAACAGCAGAAACAGCAGCAAACTGCTCTGTCCCTCTATCTGAGCAGAGACCAGAGAGAATCGTGTCATTCTACATCACCCCCTCCCAGCCAAGCAGCAAAATATAATAGTTTTGATTGCTAATACTGATGAATTGAAGCACCCCCAAAACAGAAAATCCTGTAAACTGAATCCCTGCAATGAATTTGCAATTAATGCACCTTGGTTGCTGTTGTTATGTGCCTTCAAGTGGATGGTAACCTATGGTGATTCCATCACATGTCCTAAAAAATAATTGCTTTGAAAAGATCTAAGTCAGTTGTTTCCAAACCTTGGTCCTCCAGATGTTTTGCACTTCAGCTCCCAGAATTCCTGACTGTTGGCCAAGATGGCTGGGACTTCTGGGAGTTGGTCCAATGCACCTGGTGGACCAAAGTTTGGGAATCACGGGTCTAAGTACTTACAGTAGGGACAGGCAACTGCATTGTGGCCAATCAGTTGCCAATTGTCCAACCCCCCAAGCCTCCCCCATGGGCCACCCATTGAACATTTGGGCAATGATTTCACTTCCTGTCACCATTTTGAAGGTGAAACAGAGGAGAGAAAACATTTGACTGGGATGAGAAGGTTCTGAGGAGGGGTTGAGAGTTGAGGAGGATTATCTGTGGGTTTTTGTTTTTCACGATTGCATGCCTTTTGAAAGACTCTGGGTGCACATTTTACCTAAAAACTGTGATACTTTTTTGGGGGAAAAACTCAGGTGTCATGAAACTTTGGGGGACTAGTAAGGAACTTCAGGGACTGCAAAACTGGGACCATGGGACTTCATGCAGACTGCAGGGGACGTTTGCTCTATCCTAGCCTAAGAGATATGGCCTCCTTGTGGACACCTTGTGGTGGAGACCCAACTAGCATGAAAAGTTAATGCAAAGAATATAGTTTTTTATCCTTCCAGATTAAGCTTCCAAGAACTCTTTTGATTATGACTGCTTGATGGAATAGGGGTGGGAGTGGGCAAGAGTTTTAATGTATGTCCAGGAATGACAAAAAGATAGACATTCAGCAGCAGAGCTATAGAAACACACCATAAATTTTCAGAGGTATTTATCTGGTCTCCCAAGACTGAGGTCAGGTTTCAAGTCATTCATGTTTGTTTGCTACTCCCATTTCCACAACAGTTCCAATTTCAGCTCTCCAGAGAAGAACGCAATAAAACAAAAATATTAAACCAAGTATCTCTGCTTTTTAACTCCCACATTTTCCTCTATCTCATTTCTAGTCCCATTCTCATGATTAATGTAGGCCACAAAGCTATGTTTGCAAGCTCTTCCTGCCTTGCTTTTATTGTTATATGGCCCAATTTCCCATTCCTGAGTACAAAAGAAAACATTTTTGGGGCTTCCCTCCTACTGCAAAACTTCTGTGAAGACCAAACAGCAACTTGAAGATTATTTCTTCTATTTCAATCTTCCAAGGAAGAGAAATTTACAGGAGAGGTAAATAGGTTTAAGCTCCCCCTCTCCCTTCAAAATACTTGGGCTCTACTCAGGGTGACCAGACATCCTCCTGTTCCAGCATCCGAAGCTTTCCATGGGGCGATGCTTGGGTCAGAGGCGTCCTCCGACCCCATCATCGCCCCAAGGGAAAAAACGTTGCTTTCCATGGGGCGATGCTTGGGACGGAGGCATCCTCCGACCCCATCATAGTCCCAAGGAAAAAAATGTTGCTTTCCATGGGGCGATGCTTGGGTTGGAGGCATCCTCTGACCCCAGCATTGCCCCAAGGAAGCTTTCCATGGGGCGATGCTTGGGTCGGAGGCGTCCTCCGACCCCAGCATTACCCCAAAGAAGCTTTCCATGGGGCGATGCTTGGGTCAGAGGCATCCTCTGACCCCATCATCGTCCCAAGGAAAAAAAGTTGCTTTCCATGGGGCAATGCTTGGGTCGGAGGCGTCCTCCGACCCCAGCATTGCCCCAAGGAAGCTTTCCATGGGGCGATGCTTGGGTCGGAGACGTCCTCCGACCCCATCATCGTCCCAAGGAAAGCAACTTGGGCTCTACTCAGGGTGACCAGACATCCTCCTGTTCCAGTACATGTCCTACATTCTCTACGGGAGGAATTCCAAAATGTCTTCCATTTTGAGCATGACTAAGAAGCATGAATTTATATTTATATTAGTGTTTTTAGCTTCTTCCCATGGAAGAAACACTCCATTTAACACCACTTCCTTCCCTCCCCAGTCCAATTTGCAAGGCTTCTCTTCCCATGGAAAAAACTTATTTAACACCACTTCCCTCCCCAGTCCAATTTGCAAGCCTTCTCTTCCCATGGAAGAAACTCCCCATTGAATACGATTTAATGTCTAGAAAAGACAATGAAAAAGGTAGAACTCACTGAGAAAGATGTTTCAGTCTTTAAGACCTATATGCAATTGTCAAGTTATTATTATTTTTATTTTTCTGCAAACCACTTTGTTTGCTCATGCTGGAAAAGCAGTGCACAATG